GTGCTAATTTTCCTAAAGCCCAATGTCTGTGTAGCCTGTGTGTGTTATGTGTGTGTATATATGTGTGTATAGATATAGATATAGTAGAGGATGCTGGGCCACAAAGGCCAACAGCCAGATAAAATGTTTGAGGATGGCCCAAATCATGTTCATAAGAAAATCAAAATAGGGGCCGGACGCAGTGGCTCATGCCTATAATCCCAGCACTTTGGTAGGCTGAGGTGGGTGGATCACTTGAGGTCAGGAGACCAGCCTGGCCAACAGGGTGAAAACCCATCTCTACTAAAAACACAAAAATTAGCCAGGTATGATGGCAGGCACCTGTAATCCCAGCTACTTGGGAGGCTGAGGCAGGAGAATTGCTTGAATCAGGAACGTGGAGGTTGCGGTGAGCCAAGATTGCACCATTCCACTTTAGCCTAGGTGACAGAGCGAGACTAAAAAAAAAAAAAAAAAGATCCCAACATAAAATACGTTTTTGGTTGAGAAAGGCTCCAACTCCATGAAGCTAATTTAATTTCTTGATTACTTTTTAAATGTAGCACAGTTAAACTGTTGGCTATTTTTCTTCTATTTTCCCTTTCTTTTCTTTTCTTTTCTTTTTTTTTTTTTCTCGGAGTCTCACTTTGACCCCCAGGCTGGAGTGCAGTGGCGCGATCTTAGCTCACTGCAACCTCTGCCTCCCAGGTTTGAGCAATTCTCCTGCTTTAGCCTCCCAGGTAGCTGGGATTACAGGCACGTTACCATGCCCGGCTTATTTTGTATTTTTAGTAGAGACGGTGTTTCCCCATGTTGAGCAGGCTGGTCTCAAACTCCTAACCTCAGGTGATCCACCACCTTGGCCTCCCAAAGTGCTGGGATTACAGTTGTGAGCCACTGCACCTGGCCTTTTCTTCTATTTTCATTTTACTAAATTTTTTACTTTTTTTGAGATAGGAGTCTCACTCTGTTGCCCAGACTAGAGTGCAGTGGTGCGATCTCGGCTCACTGCAACCTCTGCCTCCTGGGTTCAAGTGATTCTCCTGCCTCAGGCTCCTGAGTTGCTGGGATTACAGGTGCGCACCACCACACTCGGCTAATTTTTTGTATTTGTAGTAGAGACAGGGTTTCGCCATGTTGGTCAGGCTGGTCTTGAACTCCTGACCTTGTGATCCACCTGCCTCGGCTTCCCAAAGTGTTGAGATTACAGGCGTGAGCCACCGTGCCTGGCTTATTTTACTAAAATTAAACTACTGTTGACCAGGCTAGAGTGCAGTGGCATGATCTTGGCTCGCTGCAACCTCTGCCTCCTGGGTTAAAGTGATTCTTTTGCTCAGCCTCCTGAGTAGCTGGGATTACAGGTGTGTACCACCACACTTGACTAATTTTTGTAATTTTAATAGAGAAGGGGTTTCACCACGTTGGCCAGGCTGGTCTCGAACTCCTGACCTCAAATGATCCACCCGCCTCAGCCTCCCAAATAGCTGGGATTACAGGTGTGAGCCACTGCGCCTGGCCAGTAAAATTATTTTCATCAGGATAATTTTCTTTTCTTTTATAAATATTCAGTCTGTCTTTGTTGCTGATGTTCGTATATGATTTTACCACTAAACATCTGTCGTTGTGAATTTCATTATTTCTACCCCGTCCGTCTTCTCCAATCTATAGACTGAAATTTTTGTCTAAATTAAATTTTACTTTATATAGTCTTTGCTGGTGATAGTTACTTTTCTTTTTTCCTTTTTCTTTTTGTCTTTTGTAGAGACAGGGTCTCACTGTTTCCCAGGCTGGTCTCAAACTCCTGGCTTCAAACCATCCTTCTGCCTCAGCCTCCCAAAGCACTGATATTATAGGCATGAACTACCACACCTGACCTGGTGCTAGTTTTTTGCCTTTTTTCTGTTCTATGTCAAATTTTTTGGTCTGTTTCTTTCAGAGTGTCTCTGTCAGTCTCTTTCTCTCTATCTCTCAATCTCTCAATCGCAGTCTTTCTTTCTTTTTTTTGAGATGGAGTCTCTCTCTTTCGCCCAGGCTGGAGTGCAGTGGCACAATCTCAGCTCACTGCAAGCTCCACCTCCTGGGTTCACGCCATTCTTCTGCCTCAGCCTCCCGAGTAGCTGGGACCACAGGTGCCCACCACCACGCCCAGCTAAATATTTTTTTGTCTTTTTAGTAGAGACGGAGTTTCACCGTGTTAGCCAGGATGGTCTCGATTTCCTGACCTCGTGATCCGCCTGCCTTGGCCTCCCAAAGTGCTGGGATTACAGGCGTGAGCCACCATGCCTGACGATCACAGTCTTTCTTAATCTCTTGCTCGGTCTCTTACTTTCAGTCTATTAATCTCTCATTGCTTTCTCAATTTCCCTCTCAATCTCTCTCTCAATTTCTCTGTCAATCTCTCTCAATCTGTTTCTCAATCTCTCAATCTTTCTCTCAATTTCTCTGTCAATCCCTCTCTCTCAATCTGTTTCTCAATGTCTCAATCTCTGTCTCCCTCCATCTCTCTCTCTCTCTGTCTCTCTCAGTCCCTCTCTAAACCTTTCTCTCTCTTCCCCTCTCCCTCCTTCTCTGCCTGTCCCTCAAACACTCACCGACTCTGGGTTCTTGACAAAGACCTTAGTGCTCCCCATCTGGTACTGGTCGGGCTCCATGTTGACCGCCCGAAGCAGATGCTGGACGCCCTGGCGTTCGTCCCCACGCCACCGCGGCCACGTCTCAGGGGTCAGAATGGCATACCTGGGGGCGGAGGGCTGGGGTGTGGAAGTGCTCGTAACAGACAGACCCGGCCGGGCGTTCTGATGGGGGTGATGGTGAGGGCGGGAGTCAGGGGGCTCCTCACCTCTGCAGGAACTTGGCGAACTGGCGGCGGTAGGCGAAGCCGGCTCTACGCACCCTGATGTTCTCCTTCAGGCCCAGGTATTCCACCTGGTGCTTGACCCTGGTGGGGAGGGTAGGCTGAGTCCCCTCAGGGTGGGGAGTCACCAGTCCTGGGGGTGGGTGGGAGGTGCTGGAGTTGGGGGGTCTGGGGGGATCTGGATTCATGCTGAGGGAAGTTTGGGGGGTGAGTTCTCTGGTCTGGGGGTGCTTCAGGGCTCAGCCTGGGGACTGGGGGGAGGGATCTTGTCCTGACGGTCCCTTCTGGGGTCAGTTCCACAGGTGGGGGATGGCGGGAGGGGTTGTGCTAGTCCCTGGGTCATCCTACGGGAGGTCAGGGAGGTGTGTAGGTCAGTTCTAGGGGTAACCACAGGGCCTGGAGGGGATGAATCTTGGATTGGTTGGGGGGTGTCACCTGTTCTCCTCCCAGTCTCGGGGCCTCTTGGTCTCGTTGGGTTTGATGCAGCGGATGTAGTGGGGTGTGCACCTCATCAGCGTGGCCACCAGGTCATTGGCTTGTTTCTGAGGCAGAAGCGAAGGCAGGGGTGGGTGGGGAGCACAGAGATGGGACCCTCTGACCCCTCTCTTTTCTCCACCCTGGATATAGTCCCAAGAGACAGAGACTGGAGGTGGGTGAGGGCTGGTAATAGAGAAGCCACAGGGGCCAGATGTCCCTGGTCTGTGTGCACCTCCACTAGTGCGCACCGCATTAGTGGGACTGATGTGGGGTGTCTGCCTGACCCTCGAATCCAAGACGAGGAGCTCTCATATATACTGCACTCACCACTTAGCTTGGCATATAGTAAGTGCTCAGTAAATGTTTGTTGACTGAGTAACAGAGCCCTTAAGAGCATTTCTTTTTGTCCTTTGGGGAGATAGGTACATTGGGTGTTTTTTTTTTTTTTTTTTTTCCGTTGCCCAGGCTGCAGACAGTGGTGCGATCTTGGCTCACTGGCAAAGCCTGCCTCCCGGTTCACGCCATTCTCCTGTCTCAAGGCCTCCGAGTAGCTTGGACCACAAGCACCCGCCACCGCGCCCGCCTAGTTTTTTGTAATTTTAGTAAAACGGGGTTTCACCATATAGCCAGGATGGTCCTCGATCTCTGACCTCATGGATATCCCACTTGCCTCCAAAGTGCTGGAATTACAAGCGTGGAGCTACAGCGCCCGGCTGAGACTCTGTCTCTAAAAAAAAAAAAAAAAAAAAAAACCAGACTGTGGGGGAGTGGTGGCTCACGCCCTGTAATCCCAAGCACCTTTCAGAGCTGAGTCCAGACAGATCACTTGAAGTCCAGGAGTTCAAAGACCAGCCTGGGCAACCATGGTGAAACTCCATCTCTACTAAAAATACAAAAATTAGCCGGTATGTGCCTGTAATCCCAGCTACTCAGGAGGACTGAAGCAGGAGAATTTGCTTGAACCTAGGAGGTTGCAGTGAGCGAGATCATGCCACTGCACCTCCAGCCTGGGTGACAGAGCGAGACTCTGTCTCAAAATAAAAAAATAAATAAATAAAATAAAAAAATAACGCCAGGGCACAGTGCTCAAGCCTGTAATCCCAGGACTTTGGGAGTTGAGGCAGGTGGATCACCTGATGTCAGGAGTTGAAGACCAGCCTGGCCAACATGGTGAAACCCTGTTCTCTCACCTAAAAAATAACAAAAAAAAAAAAAAAAAAAAAAAGGAGCTGGGGTGTCGTCGGCCGTATTTGTTCGCCATCTACTCGGAAGGCTAGGTGGAGAATCACCTGAACTGGGAGAACGGAGGTGCAGTAAGCCGAGATCACGCATTTGCACTCCAGCCTGGGCAACAGAGCGAGACTTTGTCTCACAATAAAAATAAAAATAAAAACAAAAATGCAAAACTCAAGGCAAACCTCTCAGTATACACACAGTTCCCTAACTCCACAGTACCTGTCCTCCAGCCAGGCACAAGTGGCTCAGACCTGTAATCCCAGCTACTCTGGAGGCTGAGGCAGTGGATCACTTAAAGCCACAGGAGGCTGAGGCCTTTAGTGAACTATGACAGCACCTCTATACTCCAGCATGAGTGACAGAGCCAACACTCTTGTCCTCAAAAAAAATCACCCAGTTCCGGCATGGTGGCGCTCATGCCTGTAATCCCAACACTTGGAGCCCAGGCGGATGGGATTACCTGAGGTCAGGAGTTCATGACCAGCCTGACCAACATCGGCAAACCCATCTCTACTAAAATTACCCAGGTGTGGTGCACATGTCTGTAATCCAGCTCCTTGGGAGGCTGAGGCAGAAAATCTCTTGGATCCGGGTGGTGGAGTTGCAGTGAGCTAAGATGGCCAATTGCACTGCAGCCATGGGTGACAGAGGAAAACTCCAACTCAAAAAAAAAAAAAAAAAAACACCCAATGTACCTATCTCCCCAAAGGAACAAAAAGAAATGCTCTTAAGGGCCCTGTTACTCAGTCAACAAACATTTACTGAGCCACTTACTATATGCCAGCTAAGTGGTGAGTGCCAGTATATATGAGAGCTCCTCGTCTTGGATTCGAGGGTCAGGCAGACACCCCACATCAGTCCCACTAATGCGGTGCGCACTAGTGGAGGTGCACACAGACCAGGGACATCCTGGAGGCC